AAAAGTATTCAAATTAAAAAATATATATATATATATATTTATACTTTTTATATTTTTATTATTTTTTAAATAAATAGATTTATTATTATTATTTTTAGATATGAAACGATTAATTTAAAATAATATTTAACAAAGAAATAGAATAAATAATAATAAACGTTAAGTTTTTATATACTATATTAAAACTTACTTTCTCACAAAATTATATTTGTATAATCTTTATCACTTTTGATTTCTTAAGAAATATATTCAAGTATTCAAAATTATTAAAATAGGCAAAATAAGAATTTTTTCTATTATTTAATTTCGTTAACATAAACAAAGTGAATTCAGTTACAGATTGAAGAATTATATTTATTATGCATTATAAATGTTATATAGTATAATTAAATATTTAATAAATCAAAAAAAATAATTGGATTGAATATTTACTTTTATTACTCATGAAAAAAAAATAAAAAAATAGATATAACAATAATTATTATAATATATAACTAATATATTTTTTTAATTTTAAATTGTCTCTAAATGCATAAATTTTTGCCAAGTTTTTTTAAATAAAGAAAAAAATAATTCAAAAATAGGATAAAAATTAGAAAATCAGTATTATTTCTAAAACATTATAAATGAAACTAATATATAAACGAAAAGAGAAATAATAAAAGATGAAGTAAAAATTGAGATATCAACACCATCTCTAAAATAAATAAAATTAACATATAGAGAAAGAAAGCAAATAGAATAGAAATAGACAAAGTAGGAATTGATTATCAACGCCATCTCTTGAATATTATATACATCTTTCTTTCTTAAAAGCAAAATATAGCAATGATTCTTAATTCTTATTCTACTTTATTCTAATCTTTAATATCTTTATCACTCAAGAGGTGATCTTAATGGTCAATTCTTTTGTATCTATTAGTCAATTCTATTCTATCTTTATTCTTTTATTGTTGTATTTTTCTTCTATTTATTAGTTTTACTTACTCTAGAAAGTTGATTTTTATTCTATATCTGTTTTTATTAGTTTTACTTACTGTAGAGTGTTGATTTTTATTCTATATCTTCTTTTATTATGCTTTCTTTATCTATAATTATTTCGCAAAAATTTACTCGAGAAATAGCTTCAATTTATAAAATTTTTTTTAATTTTCCCGCGTAATTATTTTTTCCAGTTGTTTGCCATGAAATATGAAACAAGTTTACATAGTTATATAAACTTATGGATTAAGAGAAAAAATTCCAAATTTCTCACATAATTTCTTCTTTCCAGATCGGCTAATCTAAATTTCGTCTAATAAATACATCATCTTATATTATTATATTTCTGCTTCTTTTCATTGCATATTTACTTAAATTTTTTACTTATCTTTCTTGTATAATGTGGTTAACACGTGATTGTATTTTCAATTTAGATTTTTATTGTAGAATTTTTATTATACATTTTTATTTTAATAAATAATATATTTGAAACTTTTATTAATAAATGTAACTGACAAAAATTATATCTAACGCATGTTATAATTTATAAGTAATAAGGTTAAGTAAAAAATATAATAATAAAAAACAATTTATAACGATTATTAATTGATATATATTATAATTTTTAAGAAACTTGTTAATTATATCATTTAATTATCATTAACTTAACAATTAGACAATTGTTTTTGTTTCTAAAACTAATTAATTGACAAACTATTCATTATTAATTAACTTTTAAATATTAAATATTAAATAGTTTTAAAAATAGTTTTTTTTGTTTTGTGATGTTCAAAAATATTGTGTACTGTTTTAAGTGCATCATTAGAAATATTCACAAAATTAAATTATATAAAAAAATAGAAACTGTATATGAAACAAATAATTTGTCAATGCAAACAATGAAACGAGTGAAACCTTATACACATTTTAATGCAAAATTAAAGGTATTTAAAATATTTATAAATGAAATGAATTAATGTTAAATAAATTAATTCTATATTAAAATTTACGATAACAATAATAAAATTTTGTTAAAGTTTAATATTTGAAAACAGGTACTTGGCAGTGGAGCACTTGGAACCCCAGAAAATATATTTTTTATAAGTGATCAGATTAATTATATATTTAATTGTGGAGAAGGTACTCAACGTTTAAGTCAAGAACATCATTGTAAATTATCCAAAGTTTGTAATATATTTGTGACACATTCTTCTTGGAAAAATGTTGGAGGTATTCCAGGTTTTCTTTTAACAGCACAATCAAATGGTCTAAAAAAAATAAATATTCATTGTCCAGAAGGATTTGATAATTTTATACAAACAATTCAATCATTTATATCTTTACCAAATCTAAAAATTTCTTTTCCTGTGATCAATGAATCTAAAGTATATAGTGATGATGTAATGAATATTTCATATATTCCTATAACAAAATCTTTCAAAAGCATTGAAGAAAGTTCTTTATATTTAACTGATAAAGAACAATGTCACACAAATATAAATGGTAAAAGAGTTATTAATAAAAAAACACAAGAGGAAGAAATAAAAACAGAAAAGAAAGTAAAAAGTATTCCACATTTATTATGCTTTATTTGTGAAGTTCATCCAAAACTTGGAAAATTGTTAATAAGCAAATGTATAGATTTTGGTGTACCACCTGGACCACATTTAAATTTATTAAAACAAGGATTTGATATTACTAAAGAAGATGGAACAATTGTTCGTAGCAAAGATGTAGTAGAACCATCTGAATCTAAAACCATTTTTATAGGTAATTCTAAAAATATTTAAATCTATAAACAACTTAAATAATATTAACAAGTATTAAACAACAAGTATATAATAACAAGTATTAAATTATTATTTTGTAATTATTTTTTTTTAATTGCTTTGGTTTGTTTTTATTAATTTATTTATTAATTTATAATATTCAAAAATAATTAAAAATATCCTGTTTAAAAAATGAAGGTAATTTTGAATAATTATAATTAAAAAAATATCAATTTATTTTTTCTATTATTAAAAAATTCAATTAATGTTAAAAATTTTCTTCAGTTTTAGAATGTCCAACAGAAGAATATTTGGATTCCATTATAAATCACTCTACTTTTTTAAAATATCAAACAGAATCAACAAAAAAGGAAAATGAAGTTTTTTGCATATTTCATTTCACTCCTGAAAAAATTTTCACAAGTCAAAAATATCAGGATTGGATAAAAAAGTTTTCCTCAAAAACAGAACATATAATTTTAAATGATGAAAATACTTGTATGGGCAGTGAAGCTGTTTATAAGAATCAATCTTTATTAAATATGTTGCATCCTGAAATATTTCCTTTATTAAATAAAGATTGTTTCGAAAAAGATAAAGAGGTAAAATGTTTCAAATTAAATAATAATAAAGATATATTTAATAAAATAATATTCATTTCTTTAATATAAAAATTGATATATTAAAAAATTTTAAAAAATGAATAATTAGAAAATTTTATATTTCAGACTATGAATAATTACTTTCATCGTGCTAGAACAGCACAAATATTAAATTTACGGCCAAATGTATCTACTTTAATTAATTATAAAATTTATAAGGAATCACAAACATATATTGATGAAGTTATAAAAATTCCTAATTTTATAAATGTTTTAGAGGAATTAAAAATAATTATTAATGAAAAATCATCAGAACTTAATTTAAATAATATTTCTGATTATCCACGAATTATAATGTTAGGTACTGGTTGTAGCGTACCAAATAAAATTAGAAATACAAGTAGTATTCTTTTACGAATTAATAAAGATAGTAGCATTTTATTGGATTGTGGAGAAGGTACTCTTGGTCAAATTATTAGATTTTATGGGGTTTTAGAAGGTCTTAATATTTTACGTACTATTAAGGTACGTCGCTTACATTTTAAAATTAATAAAATTAATAAAATTATTTTTGACTTTAGAACATTGATATTCATATTTTAATTGATGTCTACAATTTTCTTTTAATATAATAATAAAATACTAATCTTTTTTTTTTTTTTTTTTTTTAGGCTATTTATATATCACATATACATGCAGATCACCATTTAGGACTAATTGGTTTATTATTACAAAGAAAAAAGATCACAAATCAAAAATTATATTTACTATCACCGAAAAATATAATACCATGGCTGAATTTTTACAATGATCGATTTGAATCTATTGTCCATCAATACATTTTAATAGATAATAATAATGTATATCTAAATTATCATAAGTTACCTACAACTTTTGAACTTGAATTGTACAATAAATTAGACATTAAAGAAATAAATACAATTCATGTTCCACATTGTAAACAATCATTTGGTATTGCTATTACTCTCAAAAATAATAAAAAAATTGTTTATAGGTAAGATAAGTAAAATGTATAATTTAAAAATTAATTAATTTTATATGTTAACAATTCATAATTCAAAATGTATTTATTTCAGTGGTGATACTATATTTTGTCAAAATCTTATAACTTTAGGACAAAATTGTGATTTATTAATTCACGAAGCAACTATGGAAGATGGTCTTGAAAAATTAGCAAAAAGTAAATTACATTCAACTACTTCTCAAGCAATAAATGCTGGAAAATTTATGAATGCGAAATTTATATTATTGACGCATTTTAGTCAACGTTATTCAAAGATTCCTTCTATTCCAGACAAAGAAATAAATGTTGGACTAGCTTATGATTTCATGGAGTTTAAATTACCGCAATTACCATTGTTACCTCTCTTCTATCCATGTATAAAAGTAATGTTTAATGAATATAATAAAGTAATGAATAATGAATAATTAAACATTCACAATATATTATTAATTATTATACTTAAAAATACTTGAAAAATTATTTGTTATATAAAATAAATTATCTTTTTTCGGAAATTATAAAAATCAATTAAAAGTTTTAAATTATATTGACTTAAGAATGAATAATAGAATTAAAAGGCTATGATTCTGGAAAATGGTAGTATGAGAAAAATTTTAACAAATGTTTAATAGCAGAATTTATTGCTTACATAATGCATTTAGATTATCCCGCTTTCCTCAATATGATAAATAACATAAACTACAGATAGTTTTGCCGAAGTAACGACCTTAATATTAATCTTGTTTGTATATGAAAAATAGAGAGCAGATAAAAAAAAGTATCATATAAAAGATAAAAGCATATCGAAAAATAATTATTCTCTTTTTGTCGAATCAAAATATCAATATATTCGAAAAATATTGAAATTCGACAAAAAAAGAAAAATGTTACTTATAAGCTAATCGATAAATTACACGCCCACAAAATTAGTACTAATCCATATATAAAATTTACCATTTTAATATTTTCTAAGCGGGTTGTGACGTAAAATTCTTTCATAGAAATAGCTGTAAAAATGTTTCGACCATTGCACAGCTCACGGAATGTGAATTTCTTATGTAGAAAAAGCGTGATCTCAAATTATACAGATTAATTCGATTATTGCATCGATTTTTTTGAAGATATACACTAGATAGCAAGTTTATAATGATATGATATATTTGTGCATGACATGTTTATTCTATAATAGTGTATAATTGAATAATATAAAAAAAAATATACTTATCATGTGCAATGATTATTTTTATTAACTAAAATACTATGTATATTACTTATTAACAAATTTCGAAATATGCTGTCTAGTGTATTAATTGCTTTACAACAATTCAATATTAATTGGTGTTGATATTAATACATTCATACAAAGACTAGAAAGTAGAATTTTTTTAACACTTAAACGATCGGTTAAGTTTTTTGTTATTTTTTATTTTATTTTATTCTTATAAAATAAATTATTAACAAAATATTTCCATTATTAATTAAATAAAATTATCAATTATAAGATTTAAGTAAAGTAAGATGAAAAATTATAAAATGTCAAATTGTAAACATATTTACAATATTATAAAAGAGTGTTATAGGTAATTATTATATTGCTTGATAATTAAAAAAATTAGAAAAGTTTTATTAATAAATATAATGTTCTTATATAAAATTACCGATCAATTAAGTATCAAATATTGAAAAATAAATATCTCAAGTAATATATTAAATTAAAGAAAATATAATTCAACAAATATTCAATTATTCTATGATCAAAAAAACAATGAAAAATATTAATTTTTTTTTAAATTATTAGAATACGATGTAATAACCGCTAATTATTCTGTAAATATGCGAATGATCAGTCTTATTCGGTATTTTATGAATAGAAAAATCGTAGTTAGAAGTATAAAAGAATCGTAAAAAATTAATTCGACGATGTACTTCTAATTAAGTACTCGATAGGAGCTTTTTCCGTACTTGTAAATATTATATTAGATTACATTCGAAGCTATAAAAAGGGCAAAATTTTAGCTATGTTCTTTTAAAAATTTAATCCAACATTTATATATTTCTTTTTTTTTCATTTCTGATACTTAGAATATAATCAAAAAATATAAATTATTAAATCCTTCAATAAATCATTCAAATTAAATGCGTTTTCTAGATTGTTTTTACTAAAACTTTGAGTATTTATATCTATTACATATAACGTCTTTTTAAATATAAAAATTAAATTGCTTGAATAAAGTTTTAAATGAACATAGCATAGACATGATTATTTAATCAATTAAAATTCCCACTTTGTAGCAGATTCATAATCTGTTTCTCCAAGACGCAATGCTCCATTTTTTCCTGCAGTTAAATATCTTCCATCGGTATGCTTAATACAAATACGAGAAGGTTCTCGTAATTCTAAATAAAAGCCATCAGAAGATATATCGGAATCTACGGTTACTCCTTCGCTATCTGCATGCCAGTATTTACCATTTTGACCTGAAATAAAATAAATTCAATAGATAAAAATAAATCAGTTTTTTTAAGTTTTAATTAAAATTTAAAATATATTTAAAATATTAAACTATTATTAAATAAAAAATCGAAAATTATATTATAATTTTTAATTTCCACATAGATATATTATACAAATAATTTTTTACCCTTAAATCTAACAATTCCACGATCACATCTTTCGACTCTGATAGTTTCGTAAATAGCTTTGTTGCATTCTAATTTTGAACTGGCTGAACTTTTAGGTCCCACAAAACCTTGTTCACAACGTAATACTAAGACAGGTCTATTCATCAAATAAAAATAATATTTGCTAGCATCTGAATCCAATCCATTTACAGATTCTGCATTAGCATAAAGATGACCAGAACGCTTTGTTGCTAAAAATTTGCCATTGTTAGCACGTAAAGCTACTGTTCCATCTTCCGATTGCCAAATCAAATCAAACAAAGCATTAGAAGAACGTTTGTGTTCCGATGCTTGAATTCCTCCTCCTGCTTCAAGACTCCAGTAACGATCTTGCATGGTACGAACATACCATCTTTTGGTTACACGATCAAATTCTAATTGGAAAGTTTCATGTCCAGAAATTTCATCTTGATTAGCAGTCACATCAACGCCTGAAATCATAATGCTATGCATTATTATCCAGAAAGATTTTTTAAATTTATTTAATTACTTATAATAATTTGTAATTAATTATAATTAAAATTTATATTTTAAAATAAATAATTGAATTATAATAATAAATAATATTTATTGATAAATTTTTATAATTAAAATTTAACAAATATGATAATTTATAATTAAATGTAAATATATAAAAAAAATAATTATATTTAATTCTAATTATAAATTTTTTTTAATTAAGATAATAAAAATAA